AAATTTTAAAAATATTTTCAGACATTTTGTGGACCACATGATTCAACTTGAGGAAATATGCTTCAACAATTAACCGGTTAAGACAACAATCATTTCCTGCTACTGTGAGGCACTAAAATGAAAAATCCACCATTCTAATACTTTAGAACTTTCATGGCTTTATTTTTTAAACCATAAGACTACCTGATCAGTCAACAATCTTTTTTTTTTTTTGGAGAAAAGAACCTGATATGTTGGCACTGAAGTGGAAACAAAAGCATTAGAGCAGAACAGAAAATGGAGATGCTTTTCCATCAGGCAACACAACCAATTTCAGGTGACATTTTACATCAATGGCAGACAACCATGTCTATCTGCCAGGGTGCACAGATGTCATCCTGTTTGGCCAACGCACCTCTCCACGCTGCAGAAACCAAAGCGGAAAAAAACAGAGCTCTTTTTTTCTTGAAAAGTGTCCCGTGGCTGGTGCAAACCTGAAAAAAAAAGATTCTGTAGCGAGCAGACCTCAACTTTGACCTGGACCGTTCAATGTCTTGACAGTGAATAAAACATAAGAAAAGACTGGCGAGAGAGTCCTCTAAGGTTAGGGCTCACACCAGGTCGATCCATGGAGCTTATTGGTAGGTTAGAGAAGTCTGTGGTCACACAAAGCCCAGTACCCTCAGAGGTGAGATCATGTGTACAGAATTTATCTTTGAGCTTTAATGTGAGTCACTGGAGAAATGTTCCAGTAAAATAAAAAAAATGACAGCCTGGTAGCTGAAGAACAAACAAACGTATGTTATTTTATTTTGCCCATTGGGTCACATAAACAATATGACATAAATGTGTGACTCCTTAAGCCTTCTGTACGTTTAAAAGTCTCTATTTATGAACGCGTAGTTTTTGCCAGTGAATATTCTTTCACTATTAACCTGAGAACACCTACTTGGATATCAGTAACTCTCTTTGTTACATAAAGATGGCGCCCCCAGAAATGTCCACTTATCACAATGTAGCCCAAAAGAGTAAAATAGCAGCTGAAATACTCCCACTTTAGCTCCTAACAACAAAGAAATGAGATCAGGCAGGAGCCCTGAAGTCAGATTGGGTCAGATAGAAGATCAAATGTCCATCTCCCCTGTGGAGCTTTGCAAGCAGCACATCAGCACCACTTTTCACCACCGGCTAATTCACCTAATGGACACCGCTGTATAAAGTCTGTTTTCCCCTGTGACTGCATGTGTGTGTGTGTGTGTGTGTGTGTGTGTGTGTCAAAAACACATCTAATGAGTAAAAAGAGAAGGAGGAAAAAACAAAAGGCCGCTATACAGACAAAGTGTGCTAGATATAAAAATGCTGCATCGTGATAAAAAAAAAATGTTTTTTTTTAACAACGCAGCTCTTCAGTATTTGTCCACCTTACAAAGTTGTATCCCTTGCTTCGTCCAAATGAAAGAGTTGTTTTAAAAAAATTGTCTTGCTTGACATATCCCATGTTCAGTCTTGATATAGAGATATATTCTGGATTCGTTCAGATTATAATTCCTTTAGAAATGAAGCAAATAGGCACAGTTGCATATGAGAATGATCAACATGTAAGCTTCAGTTTTTAACATAGTTATTATCTCTCCTGACTATTTTGTGTTTTACTAAATGATAGGTTACAGTGATACATGAGAAGAAATGATCTGCATTCTTTTATATCAGTTCTATGTATAACATGAGGTTATCCATATTTATATATTCCACAAATCATTTTCATGTTTTGTTTTTTTTAATTTTGCAGAATGCTGTGCGGCTGCTCCAGTCTGTTAGCACATGCACCAAGAAGAAACGGGACTAAGCTAAGATAACCACCTCCTGGTTGAAACCTAAAGTCTGCTGGACAGATACACAAGTTGTGTATTAAATGTATTGTCTGTATCAGTCATTTTGTGACTTGTCACTTAGATTCATATTGTTGCCGTGTTTTTGGGTCTTGAACAGAGTGTTGGGAACCACTAAAATGTCACTGTCACAGTTTCACCCAGCTACCATTTTTCCCCAGTGCAATACAGAAGGAAATTATTTAGATTTTGTTCGATTATAAATATTTCAATGCCAGATAATAAAATATTACGTGACCAGAATATGTCAAATAAAACAAATGGCTCCCTCGCGGCTCAGTTAAATGACTTGTCAGACCTTGTAGAGAACACTGCCAGTCTTCAGTATCAAAACGTCTCATTGCTTCCGCCTTTCACCACTCTCCCCCCCCATCCCCTTCTTCTCCCGATCCTTCGCTTGCTTTATTTCTCTTTCAGCCTCACTAATTTGCAATTGATTAGCTGTCCTCACGCAGCTCAGTCCCATGCTCTACACCCCTCACACCCTCCTCCTCTACACCTCCCTCCTTCCTCTCCTCCATCTACGAGTCAATTTCTCTTTAACGAGGGCACCAGAGCCCTTCTGTGTAAATAAAACAGAGAGCAGAGCCAAAAATCAATGGGCTTATTACCCTCAGAAAATGCTAAACAAGCAATATCAGTAATACGCTTGGTAGCTGAGGCCTCTGGTCTTAATGGGACTGCTCGACACCCCTGAAAACATCACCACCACCACCACCTCCAACCTACCAACCCCCTCTTCAATCTTGGCATACATTCAAAGAGCCACGCACATCGTACCGTCATTTTGAATGCCGTAGATAGAAGAAATACATTTACGCTCATGCTCACTGGTGTACAAGTGCACACAAACACAGCTTGCACATGAAAATGCTTCCAAAATGTACACACACACACACACATACACACAATAACACACACACATACGCACAATAACACACATGCTCACACACACTGCTGGCAGAAATTAAGGATTCACTCTCCAAAACGGTTTCCTGACAGAAATCATTGGGCACCACACAGAGCCACAGGCCACATTTCACCTCTTGTTATTTTTTCTCCCATTCCCCAAGTAAACCCACAAACAAGCAAGCACACACACAGATAAACACACCACACACACACACACACACACACACACACACACACACACACACACACATCCAGAGCAGCAGAAGACAGCAGGATTTATAGAAGACAACTCAAATATTATCAGATCAAGTCTGATTAATGTACCAACGGAAAGCTGTGTGTGTGCAACATAAACACACAGAGATTCCACACACACACAACCACAGAAATGAGCAAAAGTCTAACACAGACACACCCCAAAGTAAATGTCTACAATATATGAGACACACACACACACACACACACACACACACACACACACACACACATGCACACAAAACAAACACCTACAGTGTGCATGCAGACAAACACACACAGCATGCTAAGTAAACATGTAGAGTATACGTAGGGGCTGTAATACACACACGCACACATACACACACTATATATCGAATAAACAGACAATCACACACACACAGCAAGACAGAGGCCAAGTATTTATCATTTCCCGTCGTCCCCACACACATACATTGGCACACACGCACGCACAGTATACACACACCATTTGCCTGGAAATGAGTGTGTTGCTGCTTTAGCTGTGGCCCATTTAGTCTGGCAGCTCATGTGTGGTTAACACAGACATTTATGCTAATGATCCTCCGTGTTTAAAAAAGGCAGCAGTAATGTAAAGGCTCGTTAAAGGCCAAATCCTCCTTCACTCGAGTCATTTTTCAGCCATTTTCTCATTCAGCTACACTGACGACATCATTATTCACATGTGGGATTAATGCTCTGCCTTACCAGGGCAACCATACTGCTGCTTTTACATTCAGTAAATATATCACATTCCTGTTATGAATGTATTTCCTCCAAAATGAATTCTGGGATTATATTACATTTAGGTCACAGCTACTCTTCAGACTCGTCTAATCATCTGGACGATAAAGTATCATCTATGCTGCACTTTTGACCCTTTTAATCTTATACTGTTTTGTTAATTTAAGTATTTATGTCATGTTATTGTTTTTACCGATGCTATGAATATGGTGTCCAATGTTTTCAATTTCTGTTCTCATCTTTGATTTCTTTGTTTCTATGTGAAGCACTTTGGGATTCTGTTTGTATGAAATGTGTTTTATAAATAAAGTGAGTAAATCACTGCCTGCATATGTTCAAAGACTTGATTTAGAGGACATAAAACACTACATTTATGTACTATTCTAGACGCCGTTTTGGTCCGTTTACACAAATGGATCTGAAGTTAGCATTAACACTATGGTTGTATAAATCTGTCAATAAAACAACTTTGGTTAAGATTAGAGGAAAGATGGTGTCTTTGGTTACATGTTAATAATGTGAAGTCAATACTCTCTTCTTCTGTGTTGAACAGAAACAAGTGTGGCTCAGAGGTCTGTCGTCTCTTAACCAGAAGGTCGGGGGTTCAATCCCCAGCTCCTGCAGCAATATGTCTACGTGTCCTTGGGTAAGACACTTAAACCCCAAGTTGCTCCCACCGCTATGGCAGCGGTTTATGAATATGAGTGAATGGGATTAGTTACTTCTCATGGTTGCTTAGGGTTTCACAGCAGCCTCTCACACCAGTGTGTAAATGGGTGTAAATGTGTAGGTGTGACCTGTGATGTAAACTGCTTTGAGGAGTCAGAAGACTAGAAAAGTGCTATAGCCTACAAGCTCAAGTCCATTTACTATTTACCAACAAAAACGTGTTCTCATAATTTACAAGTATTCTTAGAAAGAAAGATCCATACATTACAATACTGACATTAGAGCTTCTTCTTTTGGACAATGTAAAAACTTACTCTGTAGTTCAACCTTTCTGTTGAAAACTTAAAAGCACTTGTGGTATTAAAAAAATATCCCCATAATCACCAGTCAGTATAATAACTTTTAAGTATAACTTTAAGTGTATGTAATTTTGTATCATTCGAAAAATTTGCATTAAAGTCATTGAAACTCATTCCTCTGACAGCTGCACGCACTGCAGTGTGGTTTATACCATGAGTACTTCTCTTTGACATTCAAGAAAAAAAAGTCTCCCACCTGCTTGTGCATCTCGATGTTCAGTCCATATGACATTTCGTAGTACTGAAAAAAACAAAGATCAAAACAAGGTCAAACAGACGTGTGTTCTCTGTTCCTGTTTCTGCACACACCGAAAATACAAATGCATTCATGCAAACGCACACACACACACACACACACACACCAGTGCACATACAAAGCTGTAGTCAATGAGACTCACCATCACATAGTGTCTCTGCATCTCTGTCTTATCACTGGCCAGTTTCTCACACTCCAATTTCAAACTGTGAGGCAGACGCAAAACAGTTTGTTAGTAAAATACAAGTTAATACATTCAGTCCATCTATGAACATATGCACAACTATATACATGCCCTCTACACAAACAGACATGTTAGAAATACAAGAAGAAAAAAATCAGACTCGTAAAAAACGAAATTGAAAACAACCCTTACAGAATACTGAGACTAAATGCCCACATCCTGCCCTTTTAAATTTGCATTGCTAAACTTAAGTGCATGAGAGAAATAAAAATGAACACAAAAAGTTTCTGGGGTCACAGCAGCTTCCCCTGCAGACACTTACTCAGCAGGTACAGAGCTGTAATTAATGGATCAATAGACAACCACACCAACCTCATCATATATTCTTACAGTGTGAGTGGATGCACAAACTGCACCATCAACAAAAAAAGAGACTATATCATGAGGATCCATTTTACAGCTAGACTAGTAACACAAAAACTTAACTCTTTAGATATTGTGTGTTACTGAAAAGCCTCCACTTATTGCTACACGCTTTTGTACGTATATTTTAAGATGAAATGAGCAGGTATTCAAGGTTGATGGTGAAATGAAGACACTGATCGACCAGAAAAAACAAAGTAGGGCATTTTGTATGTTACTTAAATGGTACTGAAGAATTATGAGAGATTTCTGTAAATGTCAGACTATGTTAAGACATTCAATTTATTTTGTGTTAACACTTAGCCTACATTTCATGCTTTAAACTGAGGCACATAATTCTGCATTCTCATAGTTTTAAGTTGCATTAACTAACCCAGATGTCTGGATAATTTACCCTCCAAAAATGAAAACTAAATTCAAAATAAACAATGATGAAGAAGCAGGTTTTCACACAGTGTAAGCAAAGCTTTTCATGCTGGTATCATTTCGGTACGTGTGACTGAAGATAGGAAAATACATTTGACAAATTTCTGAAGCTCAAGGAAAGTTTCAGAAGACTTTCAGTTTCAGAAGTAATTGATGGAATATATATGCAGCATTTATATCTTCTGATTTAGACTGCAGAGTCTCCCTGCAGTCAGGATTTCACGCGCATGCAGCAGTTTGATCACAGTATCACACATGCAGCAGACACTATCCCTGGTTCAGCTCATTCAGATCCAGGTTTGGGCAGCAGACTGGGCCACTGGTTCATCTCACCAGGTGATTGGGCAATAATTACCAGGCAGCCAGGGCTGGGCCATTATTATGCATTGGTATCGTGCTTATGGTTCTGCCCCCAAGCGATGTATTTCACACTTCATCATGTTAGCTAAAAAAGTATTTCACACCACTTGAGCTCGCAGAGAGAGACGTGCATACCAAGGTTGATGGAGTTTACCTGCAGCTAGGCATCAGATGGATCTGAGACAAAGGTACCAACAGCTCTTTAGAGGCTCTGAGCAGAGTCTTTATACGGGATCTCCTGAGGGATATTTGACTTTAAACTAAAAATGTCTACATTTCTCAATTAAGTCCTTAACATAAATCATTTTCTCTTGTATTTCACGCCATTGCATCATATGATTCTCAAAAAGCATAGGTCCTGGCCTGTGGTCTGATTCATTCATGACTGGTGTCAGGCAGGTGAACATCACAGAAACCTTCCCTTAAACTGGGGCTTAGACTGAGTAATGATTTCTTGATATATAAAGCTACTTTCTCCATTGATAGCGTCAGATTAATGATGAAAATAAATAAACATTACATCATTTTAATCCACTGATGTTTTGCAGCTCTAACATAAACCCAGAATACATGAAGTCACATTTACAATCTCTCCAACCTCAAGCAGTAAATTTTGCACTATTTTTGTCACTGCTTTTCAGATGAACAGATGTTTCCATGCATTTTTGATGTACTGCTCCATAAAAACTCTCACCTGTGATACTGCGCTTGCAGGAAGTGGAACTCCTCCTTGATCCGGTCGCAGGACTCAGTGACAGTGAACTTTAACGGCTGGCCCGGCTGGTGGGGGACCTCAACCCAAACCAAAGACCGTGTGTGTGGGGGGAGAGAGAGAGGAAGAACTGAGCCACCAAAGTTTAGTGTCACGACACACACAGTCTCGCTTTCTTTCTCTCACACACCAAATACACACAGGCGAGACTGTAGATGACAATAGGCCTCTGTGATACGGATGGCCTTTTGGTTTCACTTGGACTGCTTACACGTTAACCCACGCACACTCACGCACACGCACATGCAGCTGCGGCATTGAAACAATGAGCGCAATTGTCCGTGCGAGCGCGCGGTGGCACGGAAACTTGATCTAAACTGATTACGCATCAGGCGCGCGGCTGTTAATCTGCGCTGCTTTGACATATTGCCTTTCTGCTTTCTACTTACCGGATGCCGGGCCGGGGGGTACATCTTGCTCAGATCTCGAATCATTGAAAATGTGTTGCAAAGTTCGTTCGGATAAACGCAAAAAATAACCCCAAATAATGAGGGAGCACGGCGCTCTCCCCGTGCGTAAAAAGGTCTGTCAGTGGCCGGTTTTGTTAACTACGTGCAGGTGCCACGAAGAGTGAAAACATCCTCGGACCTTTTGCTGGCCGTCATTCTTTCAGGCAGTGTTGAAAAAAAAGTCCATTCAGTTTGATATTTACAGCAGGAGTTGCCTCAGTCTTCTCCAAAATCTCCAACGCTTTAATTTAGGCGCACAAAGCTTAATTTCCTCCCACCTAACTAACAATGATCCTCTTAAATGTCTAATTTTTTCCTAAAAAGCATCGACTTCTGGCACATCATGACCTCTCTGCTCCTCGGCTAAGCTCCTCCGCGTCGTCCCGTCGTCACGCATTTATCGGTTAATTTCCTGCAGCCTCCGTGAACGTTCACATCCCCACACAGCACCGGCGGAGCGACCACCTCACCGACTGTTAACAACCTGCCCCTCAGAAGCCAAATTTAGAAGCAACCAGTCGCACGAGCGCAATTACATATTCACAACAATTATGGGAGCCTGTACCGTGACGTCGGGACGTGTAGTTTAATTCAAATTAGTCGACAATAAGCACTACAGATGTGCGTCTGCCGTAAAGAACTACAACTTCCGGGCTCCTCCGCGGAGCTGCCCCCCCCCGAAGCCAATGGTGTGTGGTCTGGAGGAGGAGCGACCATTAGAGTCAGCCAATAGCGACGAACAAGTGAGCATACTGCGCCGTGTCCTCCTGTCAATCACTGATATTTTGTCCAATCACCTCCATCAGGATGCACTCTATGCAGACTCCCCACGTGGGGGCTCGGTCTAGAAGATGTCACCGGGATTAATCTGGAAACTATATCTGTTGATTTATGTGTCGTATTTTGTTGACACTTCTAGGCAGAAGCGAACATATGGCCCTGAGGTGTCTCATGTTTATCCTGTTTTTCATTGAATCGCCAATTAAAACAATCTGCTATTCTGTCCACAGATTGCACTCACAACCCTGCAATTAAATTCTCATTTTGAGCTCCCTTGTAGGCACTTCGGCATGTGTGTATAGGATGCAAATCATATAGGGGAAGACAAAATATTATTGTAAACGCTTAATGAACTTGAGTTAATTGTATAATTACTGGTATGGAGGTCGACTATGCTGCGTGCCAAGTGGCCCATTCGGATCCTATTAAATTCTGTTTTGAGGACGTGTGGGAAAATGTTTCAGGGGTTTTTCGAAATGGAGAGAGGGAAATTGGAGTTTTGACTGATTGACCTGCATTTTGGCTTTGTTGGAGGTACAAAAAAGACTTGTGCATTTAAAATATTAATCAGGAAAGGTAAAAAATTACGAGCATTACATTTTCTCAAAGTACAAAAGGGAATTACTCGAACAGATTGTCCATTTCAGAACAGTAAATAGTTCTTAGAACTTCTAAGCAAATCATTTGCACAGTTGCAGCAGGTTAGCATTGATCTAATTTTAGTTCCTTTACAAAGTGCTGTATACTGTATCTTGTATTTGACCTCTTAACCTTTAACATCTATGATTTACTTGGTGATCATATTTGAATCAATTACCAAAAGCCGCAAATTGTAGAGGACGGAAAGGAACAATGTTTCATCCTGAATGATAGTGGAGCGGTCTAATAAAATCTGATATACAACCTTAATATTGTGCAATAAGTGCTACAGTAAATACAAAAATATACTTTTCACAAGGATACTGTTTTTTGTTTTTCAAAGGGGATCGCAGATTCAGGTGGTTCATTTTCTGCATTTTCATAACTGTGAGTAACATTTTTCATATTGTAACACTATTTAAAAATCCTCATTTCATACACTGTTATTCTATATGTAAATTATAGCCACTTTAAGTCATGTTGATGTCAACGATATAAAGAAGCATGAATCAGAAATTACTTAGATTCAATTTTTTTTTAGCTATTATACCACTCTGGACAGCCAATGGAGCCTTTCATTCTGAGTTAACTGAAATATGATGATAATAATTAGGACTTAATCTTTCTTCCCCCCAAGGAGAAACTCCCTTCAGTCTTAGGGATGAGTGTATGCACTCAGCCTACATTTGCTGCTGTGAGTAGCTGCTTAGTGTGTATGTGACTGACACACACTGACACACTGTTGCTGGGTCAGCAGCTCTCATAACCACTGAGTTCAATCATTTAACTGCACTAACTGCATGTGTTAGTTGGACATCTTAATCATCTTCTGCTGAGTTACACTTCATATTTCTTCACTCTCTCTCTCTCTGTGAATGTCTTATCATTTCTACGCGTGACATGATAGAAGAGGAGTTCTATCATTGTTATATATTACTTTTATTTTTCTCAAACACACACACACACACACACACACACACAGAGGCGTAGCAATGCTTATCCACGATATGACACCACATCAATCTTGTCTGCTCTAGTCAGTCTGTCTGCCTCTGTCTCTCTGCCGGTCCTGTTGTCTCTGCTTCTCCCTCACACATACACAGGACTGTGCACACATACACACGGCCTCAGCCATTCAAATACACATCTCTATCTACCGCACATACAAACTAATATCTCAGGTAAGCACAGGGCCTAAAGTGACCTGCTGTCGTGGTGCGTGAATCCACTAAGGCTCAGAAAAGGTAATATCATGCCCTCCCTCGTTCCCCTCCAAGGGTTGAGCTGTGATGTGGGCGAGCATGGGGGGGGATGCAGAGGTGAGGGAGGGGGGCAGGTGAAGAGGAATAAACAGATTTATTTGCCTGCGCCCCTCTCTGATTATTTTGCCCCTGCCTTTTGTTCCAGACCTTATGAAACCCAAATGTCAAGTGAGGCGAGGGCCTCATATCGAGCCCTGTCAATCACATCCCTCTACGCACCTGAAGCCCTGACGCTGGATTATTGGCTTCAACACAAGGGCTGCCTTTGCCGCCAGCCACAACGCCTCAGACCATTCGACAGCCAAGGTTTTTTTTTTTTTCTAAAGAGGAACTTCATTTGGCAGCTGATGCGCGGGAGATTGCATAGGGGCCAATTCTGAGGGAAGGATTCATGTGTGTGTAGGGGGGGGGGGTGAATGGCTTATCGAGGGAGGTGGATTAAGGTGGAGGGTGGGGGTCAGGGGGTGGGTTTGATTCAGGTTGAGGTGGCGAAAAACCCCAGCCTTAACATCTTGCTCAGAGCACTGATCCCAACCAGCTATCAGCACCTACATGTCTCTTAATCTCACACTGCAGCTCTCCCTGTCAAGTTCTCCCTTCTTTTACTCACACACACACACACACACACACACACACACACACACACACACGCACACACGCACACACGCACACACGCACACACGCACACACGCACACACGCGCACACACACACACACACACACACGCGCACACACACACCCACACACCCACACACACAAACGCACACACATCTATATCACTTCCTACGCGATCTTTTTATCTCTATAAATATTGCACTCCCTCACAATAACTCACTTTGACATAAATGCACTCACACACAAACAGCCCACTGGACAAAGCATTAACTTTCAGCCCGGCTTTAGAAGAAATTGAGAAGATATTTTAATGCTTCAGAATCCTGATACATTGTTGAATAATTTTAGAAAAATATAATTTTTCTTGTCAAGATCTGGGCTCTACCCACGATCAAACGTGCTACTCGCTTGTGTGTACATTTTTAAACTGTATGAAGACTATTTTCTTTCTCTTTTAAAAATTACTTTGAGTCTATATTAGCTTGTGAGCATTCTCCCGAAGGAGAGAGTTTATGACAAGCAGAATCAGCAACATCCACAGAGGTGCACTAAACTCAACATGTGCATTCACACTCAGTTGAAACAGGGCTACAGAATGCTGGTTGCAAGTAGTAACTTCATTTTTCACAAGACATGTGGAGGTCTGTTCAAATTGTTGGAAAGACCAGGATAACAAAACCTTGTTGAACCAACCGTATCATGGTGATTTTTTTCTAAATGTGGAACAGGACTCTTTTTATTAACAGAGAGCGTGAACTCGGTCAGCAGACAAGAATTACACGACAGTAATGGACAATTCTGTCACACCCTGGGTCATATTTAGTTACATTCGTTTTAAATTATCTCTTTCTGTGAGACTAGTTCATGGTAACTGAGTTCCAGTTTATGTACATTGCTGTGGTTAATAAGTTGATAATTGTTAAGTGCAGGACTCCGGTCTCCTTGAGGAAAGTTTTCTGTGTCCCTTTCCCACCCAGACCTCAACACCATTGATTTCTGCATTCGGCTACATAAATGTTTGACCACTCCCTGCATCTGTGTTGAATTCTTCCATTTGATTTTAAATACGAGATGTAAAATACCTTCAATACTGAAATGACCCTGAGGGATAGCAGGCTGATACACTTCAAGCAAACTTGTTGAAACATAAACGTTATTTGTTGTTTTAAAACCGGAAAGCAATATCACAAATAAACATCCTCAGTCTTCATTTCATTGATTGATTTGATAGTGATGTTTAAAGTAAAACATGTGAATGTTTTCAGAACGATGAATGTTTCTGAAGTCAATATGTTTAGACAGATGAGTTAGCAAGCCTATGGCTCACTGATAACAGCCCCTGCATTAGCAGTACATTTTCATTGTATGAAGTGTCAATGTCAAGTTGTGTGTCGACAAGTCCATGTTACCGTTTTTCCTTTGTCTCTGCTGAGTAGCAAGTCAATGGGTGCTTTGGTTAAAAACAAACATTGAAAAGATGGCGATGATTAGATGAAGAGACAAGTCAAAACTATTGAACTCTTAGGTCCTAATCTTTGCACTCATTCTATCCCTTAATAATTACCCCCAACTGTAGATCATATGCATCTAAACCTCACTAGATGTAGCACTAAGGATCCAGAAAATACATTTTACAGCCTCATACCAGGTAAGGCAAGGCAAGTAAATGTATATCGGCTTAGCACATAGTACACACTAAGGTAACATAATCTGCTTTTAGTGATGGGGAAATCTGGTTTTAGACTCTTAATTTAAATCTATGGACAGAAAAATTTTAGATGTAAAATTCATCTAAATCATGAAGTAGACATTCTTATTACTGTGAAAAATTATCCTGCAGTCTGCTGCTGTCCCATAGGGTCAGCAAAGCTACAGAGGTACAGCATATTTACTATAAGACAAGCACAGGTATTGTCCTTTCACCACCCCACCATCCTCTGAGTTTATGGAATGATAATATAGCACCTGCCTGTCATTGTCTCTGTATGTGTGAATGTGTGTGTGTGTGTGTGTGTGTGTGTGTGTGTGTGTGTGTGTGTGTGTGTGTGGATACACTGTCTAACTAATCATACTTCAATGATCACTAACCACTGGTCCATGTTCCTAAATCTCCTGTCCTTACAGCAAGCTGCGTCTAAATCCCCCATGCTCGCCCCCTTAACACGTCATTAATCCCCGGCGGCCACCCCTTTGAACACGGAGCTCGTGTGAAGGGATAACCAGGCCTCCTCAGACACAGAGACAGG